TGGAGAGCTCATCAGTATCATTGGCGTTTACATTAACGAGGCTTTGGATGTTAAAGTCCTATTATGCCTAGTACCCCTTTCTATTGGCAGACAGCGAGCGCTTATTTTTAATTTAGAGAGATTAGCTCTTAGAGTCGGACAAAATATCGTTTTCCAGAATGGTTTCTAGCGGTCTGTACAGGGCTGTTGAAGAGGCGGTTTTTAACTTTGAAAAAAAAGAAAGCTTTTTGCGCCTTTTCCTCATCATTTTCGGGGAAATAAAACCCAAAGAAAGCTCGCAGAAGTTAAGCTATTTTATTGCTGTTGTCATTACAATTTCGATAAAATAAAATTAAGAAAAAAAAAAAAAAAACAGTTGTATATCTAAACAAAAAGAGCCCAGAAGAAACAAGCCACGAGGCGAAGCTGTAGCGACTGGAGAAGGTTGGATGAGGCTGTTTTTTCTCAACATTGCATTAGTTGCGACAGGAAGCATTTCAGCCAGGAGCAATCCGCTGAAATCCTCACAGCATTTCAACAGTTGAAATTGTATCAAATAATAATCTCAAGTAAAGCAGAGGCCAACACAGTATTATTACTATATCCCCCGCCTTCATGGTAATCTTAGCAACATACAGAGGATTGTGTTCGAAATGCTGGAAATGGTAGCGTTCACGATCAGAGATAAAGAATGACGACGTATAATGATGTACGGTATTATAACATGTATATCCCCATTATTTCAGACGATGCACTGTAATAGCCTCCTATTTTGCAAAGCAAAGCTGATTCTTAGGGCATACTGGCTGCAGTTTGCTGATTTGACAGTATTACACGTATGCTACTCCTTCCTATTGAAATATATGCTACGCCGAGCGACAATCTCCTTGATGTTGGATACATCAGAATCCTAGAAATGGAAAAGGACTCATAAACTCATAACATGGTGGCAGTGTGTGATATTGGTTGATATATAATGAACCTTCATTTAAAGCTCGACGGGCTCTGATAATGTACAACACGCTTTTGTAATGTGAGTTTTAGATGGCTTATTTGGGGTTTCTTTTTTTTTTTTTTTAATAAGGTATATGGACTGCATTTATCGAAAGTATTAAGTGAATCCTGGTGATATCCTTAGCGGACGCGGTACATTTAGAATCAGTCAATTAGGAAGACATAGAAAATACAATCTAATCAAGTGCAAAAGAAGCACTTGAAAAAATGGTGGAAAAACGGTGAAATATTTTTATCACCAATGAATGTGAACCTGCAAACGATAGATATTTTATAATGTGTAGCGAAGAAAAACGCTGTCATATGTAAAGAGCGCCATTTGTCGCGTATTAAGTGGTATGAAATGGGACAATGAAACGTACACAAGATGATGACTGCATTCGTCGAATAAAGCACTCGAGTCGCCCAGAGCTCTATAGCAGCAGATTGTGTAAGATGGAGAAATTAGGGAGGTAAAATTCATCTTCACCTCTTTTTTCAAACAAATTATAACTCAATCCCGTTTTATAATATACCAATTTATTTGTTTCTATGTATCTAACACATATTAGCTGTGGGTCAATAACAGCGTCTCCGCGGCGTACCATCTGGCATCTCATGACGGTCAGTTCAATATCGTGTTCATCAACGCCACACCGTAGTGACCACGCAGCTTCGCTGATTTAGCGTTTATTTCTAAGAAATGCTGATGCATTACTCTGTCGCTTTACATTTGCTCTATTTATGTAGATGTGCTGCTTATTTACTTGTAAATTGTTTTCTCACCTTTGAAAGAGCCTCGATTCTAGTTGATACTGTTTCGACTTCAAAGGACCCGATGTGTGAACTTGTTGTACACATACAGTAAAAATATATAGATCTTTATTTTATCCGAACCCCCAGTGTTCTCTTGTGACCTTACCGATCTATTGCACCCGCCGTGATTCAAAATAAGTGGCTATTTAGACGGCTAAGTACAGCATTCCTGGTCATTATTGGGGTCATCATAAGTGGCTACTTGACGGCTAAGTACAGCATTCCTGGTCATTATTGGGGTCATCATAAGTGGCTACTTGACGGCTAAGGACAGCATTCTTGGTCATTATTGGGGCCATCATAAGTGGCTATTTAGACGGCTAAGGACAGCATTCCTGTCCTTAGCCGTCTAAATAGCCACTTATGATGACCCCAATAATGACCAAGAATGCTGTCCTTAGCCGTCTAAATAGCCACTTATGATAACCCCTATTTAGACGGCTAAGGACAGCATTCTTGGTCATTATTGGGGTCATCATAAGTGGCTATTTAGACGGCTAAGGACAGCATTCCTGGTCATTATTGGGGTCATCATAAGTGGCTATTTAGACGGCTAAGGACAGCATTCCTGGTCATTATTGGGGTCATCATAAGTGGCTATTTAGACGGCTAAGGACAGCATTCCTGGTCATTATTGGGGTTATCATAAGTGGCTATTTAGACGGCTAAGGACAGCATTC